GCTAAGGCGCGTTTCCAGGGGAGCGCCTTCGTGGGATTTGCTGATGCGGAGGTAAGACGCGTTTCAAGGGAAGCTCATTCCAACAGGTGTGGCGCCACGGTGGAAAGAACGTTTCAGGGGGAGCGTCTTTTGAAAGCTCTTTTGGGGAACGTATTTTTCACTTGGTTTTGAATTAGGGTTTTGAATTAAGGTTAAAGGTTAAAGGTGATAGTGGTTTAGAGTTATTAGAATTTGATAATTTATTAGGTAAATGGTTTAGGTTATGATTTAAGAATGGTCAAAGGTATTTTTTTAATTTTTTATTTAGGTTAAAGTGATTTTAGGTTAAAGTGGTATATGGTTTGTTAAGGTGAAAGTGGTGAAGGATTTTGTATGTTAAAGTGGTTTAGGGGTTTTTTAAGGTGAGAGTGATCAAGGGTTGTGTAGGTTAAAGTGGTTTAGGGTAAGGTTCGATTAAAATAAAAATGTTAATCACTTGAAGTAAGAGGTAAGTGGGAAATTTATGTAGAAAATACACATACATTGGGAAATTGTAAAAAATGTAATTACATTGAAATATTAGAAACAAAGACATACATTGAAATAGAAAATGAAATTACATAAGTAAGGGTTAACGGTTAAGTGATGATAAAAGAGTTGGACATTTTTTCCTATTGTGACCGATGTTTCTGCAATGCCCACATATTTTTTGTTCCCTCTCCCGAATATCCATATCACAATAAATTCGAGTGGATTTTGGACGACCTAAGTCCCTCAATAGCAACGGATTTGGTATAATTATGTGATGTCCCAGGTAAATAACTATTCATGCCAACACCTATTGTGTTTGATGGGATTAGAAGTTGTTGAAAACACTTTGATATTTTGATATACCAAAAATTGTTTGAAAAGTTTGTACAAGTTTTAAGATTATATTCGATTTAGTCATTCAAATATGAATAAGTCATTTGAATATATTAATTATTATTTAAATTTAAAAAGTGAAATTTTCTCCTCATTCTACTACAAAATTGAGTCTTATTGTGGAAATATTTTTGAAATTTAAGTTTCAATTTTAATGTCACTTTCATTGTGAACTTTAATTGGAATATGAAGTTGACTTTGAATTTCGAATATAATTTTAAATTTTAATTAGAATATTAAGTTGAATTTGAATTTGCATTTTAAAAACATTTAACAAACATTAAACATTTAAAAAACATTACATAATCTAAACATTTCAAGTTGAATTTAAAAAACATTACAAAATTACATAAAATATTGAAATACAACTATTAATATTATCTTTCAATGGATCAACGATGTCGTCTTCTCGAATGAGTTCCACAGGGCGGTGGTTGTCTATTTCGTTGAGGATTTCTTCGTATAACTTCCTCTTCATTCTCCTTATCTTCACTATCATCATCATCATCGACGTTTTTTTCATTTGGCATGGATGACAATGAAGGGCCTGTATAAAATAACGACCCTGTAGGAGTATTACTAATTATCCCACCGTTAAAAGAAAATTGAGAAAATTGTGAAAATATTAACATCGATGTATGTGATCCATATGGGGGTGGAGGTGTTTGTGGAGGAGTAACGCCACTAGCCAAATAAGATGTATATGAACCATATGATGGATCATTAAGCATAGCCTTATACGCACCTCCATGGGGTGTCATAAAACCATGCGGGCTACGAATGTAACCTTGCAGAGGTGGCATTTGAACTGGTGGGCTGGGCATGTACCCCTGTGGGCTCATAATCGGTGGAGATGATGGATGTAGTGATGGTTCTGGTGGTGCGACTGATGTCAAACTAGTAGCGGTTGCTCTCCGTCCACGAGTCGTGGGATGATGATATTGTGACGGTGGACGTCTATCTTGACGTCTATCTTGACGCCTATGAATTCTCACCCCTCGTTCTTCCTCTACAAGTTGGAATGACTTCATGTTTTAATTGAACCACTACAGATAGTCATCCGTAACCATCTGACCAGTTTCAGGGGGCAAGCGTTGATATCGGTTCTCCCAAATCACAATCCAGTCTCTATGCTTCACCACCTAGTTGACCTTTTTTTTCATCGTCTGTCTATGTTATGCATATTTTCTAAATTGATAGGTGCTTCAGGAATATATTGCATACAACAAAACTGATAGAGCACACGATCAATCGGATGCCACTCAACAATAGCATAACATATCAGAGGCACAACTGACATCCAAACATCTAATGGCCAACTCAAGTGGGGTGAGATGCAAGTTTTTATTTCATCGCTCGCATAAGATATCCACTAAAACTGAAACATAAATATATAATTATTATCAATATAATATTCTAATTATTTCAAGCATTTTAAATTAAATTATTCATATTTAAAGACATACCTCAGACCCAGGTTTTTAATCAATAATTAAACGGATATCCTCTAGTTCACTAGGGATATCTCTATGATTCTATCTTCTCATCGACCACCAATTTAATATAATATAAATATTATGTCATTATTTAATTAAAAATATTTTAATCAAAATTTAGTTTTGAAATTACCTTATTAATAACGGGAATACATATGACTCGTTAACGATCGGGCATAAGAAAGGCATGCGGAACCATGCCCATGATTGAAGAAACAAGAGACATCCATCAATAGTAGTTTTACTATAATTCGTTGCACGACACATTTCTCTAAAGAGAAATGCCAAAACTACGACGCCCCAACAGTATTTTCCTGCTTCATCAAAATCAATAAGATGACGCAACCACATACAATGCACCTGGTTGCGAGATTTGTCGGGCATTAATATTCCTCCAATGATTCGTAGTATATATGCCCGAGCACATGCATTTGCTTCATCCTCAGAAGCATTTTCATTCAAATCTTTAAAATTGGCTTTTAGTCATGATAAAGATATCCGACCTCTATTGAAATCTGGCGGAGAAGCTCCAAGATACTCCATGCATAGTATTTTGAAATCACCATCGGCCACACCACACATAACATTTCCATCAACGGGGAGCCCCAAATGCATTGAGACATGCTCCAGTATAATTGTGCACTCTCCACATGGAAGATGTAATATGTGTCTCCGGTCTTCACCTTTTAATTAATGCGAAAATTAGGGTAGGTTCGATTTTGCAACCGTCAACAACTTTCGCAATATACCCGAACCCGGCTGTAGACTGATAATGCCAAATACGTGTTGGTGTAGGTATCTTCGTGTTTCGAATAAATGTCTCAAAAATACGATCATTTTCTTAATTAATAAACATTCCAAAAATTTTAAATTAATATAAATTCATGAAAACTTTAAATTTAAAAATATTAAACATTTACATAAAATTTTAAAAAATATTATCATATCACTAAAATATCTTAAGATATGATTTGCATCTAATCGAAGCAGCATCTCACTTTCCATTATAGTTGTAGGCAAACAAATATACTTAGCACAAATAATTAATTAATAAATTTAAATATATAATAATTATATAAATATTATTTTAATAAAAAATATAACATTATTTTTAAATAATTATTTATAAAAAATATAACAAATTTTTTAAAGAAAATATACTAATTTTTTAAAAAAAATTCTTACCAACTATTAAGAAATTTTTAACTCAAATAAGAGAGTGATTTGAGTTATATTAGAGAGAAAGAATGATTTGATGTGAAAAATAAGGAGAGTTAAAGGGTTTATATAGGGGAGGAGGAGGGGGTTTAGGTGGGAAAACGGGTGTGAATTAATTGCGTATTAATGGAAGGAGTGTCTCCGGAAACAATCTTTCCGACGTGGCACAAAATCCTGCGAAAGTGCGCCCCTACAAAGCACCTTATCTTGCGTGACATATCAGCCAATAGAAACCCATATAAGGAGCGTCTCCTGAAACACGTCTTTTATCTTGTCAATAAAAATCCCGTGAAAGAGCGCTCCCGAAAACGTGTCTTAACTCCATATTAGTTGAATGGGTGTTACTTCAATATTAAAAAAATAAGGTGGTATTTAGGTCTAAAAGTCGTAGTATTGATGAGGGCGTAGTACTGTAGGGTGGGTAAAAAGGAGGAACCCCTGACCTTGTTTAAGGAACCTATTACTTTATCCAACTAGATGAACTGGTTGTTGGTTAATAAAGTATGCTCTTTGAATATTAGATGTAGTAGGAACGTATATTGTGTTTTTTAATAAGGATATAAAATTATAGCAATGTTATTTTGAAAAGGAATGATTTTAAACTTTAATTATGAATTATAAAACTATTAAAAATATGAAATATAAAAGATAATAAGTATGATTTGTATTGTAAATGTCATCTCCTAAAGTATTTGGGTTGATGTATATTTTGACCATTAATTTTGGCTTTATATATAATTTGGTCCTCAACTTTTTTTTAATATAAATTTATATTTATTTAAATTTTTATATATTAAAGTTTAAAATATAAATATTAACACTTTAAATAATTTTTAATTTATAAATAAAAATTCAATTATTACTTTAAAATTATATAACAAAATAATCATGGGCAAATTGTAGATCAAAGCCAAAGTTGTGGACCAAATAGAACTAAAAATATTCAGGATCAAATTGCAGCTTAAAACTGAATTCAGGAGCTAAATTGCAGCTCAAAGTCAAAATTAAGAAGCCAAGTCGCATATAAAAAAATACATTAACCCAAAGTCTTTAACAGCGTTGCTAAATTGATTTATTCCAAACTTGAAGTATTAGTGACATCAAAATAGTATCGTCACTAATAAAATGGACGACTTTTAGTTATTTTAAAGCACTCCCTTTTGCTTACAAGTGAGGTAATGAACGGCGTGAATAGTAATTGAATAATGCAGTTTAGTAGTATTTCTTTGCTTCTGTTTTAGCAGCATGTGACTGACCTCATCTTCTTCCCACTTTATAATCAATACCTTTCATGTAAATCTACAACTATATAAACCCTCTTTTCTCTTTTATCTCCTTTTCTTCTTGGCGGAATACTTCAGATCCGATCCAAGCCCCTTAAATCATTGGATCTTTCAAGGCCGAGAGAGTTTCAACAATGGCTCAACTAATGTACTTCAGTCCCCGTAAGGTATTTTATCTTGCTTTCTTCGCGTTGGTTTCTCTGATATTTTGTGCCTCCATTGATAGCCACGAGCTTCAAACCAATCGGTTTGGTGCTACAAGGAGGAGATTGTTGGAGCTTGAAGAAGAAGACGAGCAGGTGTTGTTGAAGAAGAAAAGCTTCGATTTGAGTACCAAGAAATCAGTCAACTTATCAACCAAAAACCAAACCAAACTTATCAAATCATCGAATATATCAACCAAAACCCAAACCAAACTCGTGAAATCATCGAATTTGTCCACTAAGAACCAAACCAAGCTTTCGAAACCTACCAATTCAACAAAAGCAGCAAAAACAACAGTGTCCGGTAGCCTTTCGATGCCCAAGACTGAACTTACTAATAAGCAGCTCAATTCATCAACTTCCATAATCAAGAAGCTCAGTTCCACAACATCAAAAGCCACCAAGACCATACAAACCTCGGATCTGCTCAAACCTAACCCTTCCAACAACAAAACACTGGCAGACAAGAAACTGGCCGACAGTGGTGCTCAATCTTCAAAAACTCAAAACAAGTCAATCCAAGGGAAAAAACCGACAACCCAGATTCAGAAACAACAGAAGAAGCAGCCCAGTTGGATGGACGAGGAAGATGATACTGATTTAGTAACGGAGTTCCGAGATCTGCCGACCAAGTTCCAGGAAACCCTGATCCCAGACCTTGAGAGAATCTCGAGGACCTCAAAAGTTTACATCACCAAATACAACAAAGAGTTCACGAAACAGTTCAAGCCATATGTCGGCAACAAACACGCCCCCACCATTGCCACCGTAATCTCATGTGCTTTCCTTTTAATCCCTTTACTGTTGGTTTCCCTCATTTTTAACCGCATCAAAGCCTACTTTTCACTCCAAAAGATGCTCATTTTTATCCAAATTTATCTTTCGATTTACTTCTCAATCCTCTGCCTCACTTCCCTCGTCACTGGGCTCGAGCCATTGAAGTTTTTCTACGCCACTTCGCGGTCGACCTACGTGTGTTTACAGGTTCTTCAAACACTGGGCTACGTGCTCTACTTGCTGCTGCTTTTGATGAATCTGATCCTTGTATTCTCAACCAACTCGGGTCTCGGATCCAAGATGTTGGGCTTGGGTCAAATTATCGTGGGGTTCGCTGTCGGTTTGCATTACTACGTGGCGGTGTTTCATAGGGTGGTTTTGCATCAACGGCCGAAGACCAATTGGAAGGTCCATGGTATGTACGCCACATGTTTCCTTGCCATTTGTCTGTTTGCAAGAGCTGATAAGAGAAAGAAGGCTTACTTGGAAGAAGGTGGTGAAGAGGGAAAGATGAATTAAGTACTACAATTTTTTTTGGAGTACATTATTGTTATAATAATAATTACTATTGTTTTTAGTCGGTCCAAAAATGTCATAATCTCAGCCACTTAATGTTTATAGCAATAATAAAGAAAAATTGCTGTCATAAAGATGCCCTGAAAAATTCCGAAAGGTATCTATCTTATATTTATTATCATCTTCATCTTCCTTTTGTTATTTTTACTTATTATTTATATTTTGATCAACAACTGAAATTGCCCATGTAATTTCCTTTTAATTACCTTCGAATGTAGACAATACTTTTGCAAAGAATTTATAATTACTCGTTTCAGAAATAATAGTATTTTTGTTTATTGTAATTTCTAACTCTTTTATTGTTTTCCCCTTGTTTTAACTTTTATGGCTTTTTTATGTTAAATAAGAAATCTTAGGTTTTGCTTATAAATAGTTGAGTATATAGTACAAATTTTAAAATTTATGTTAATGGTTGATTAGATAATAATTAAGTTACAAATTATTAAAATGTTTATTTGTTAATATAGCCTAACAGGAACTTTATCATTTGAAATTTTATATGATCTTTAAACAAAATAATTTAAAACTATTTATTTAAAAACTGAACATGTATTTCTATATTATTTTATTGTTTTGCTTATAATAAGTATTGGATGGTTTTTGATAAAATATTTTTTTCTTACAACATTTTTGGATCCCGATCGACAAGTGGCTTCTCCAACTCCAACGTAGTAGGCTTTTGTTTCTCTTTCAGTGGCTTTAAATAACAGTTTATAATAAAAACAGTAGTGAAAATGAACATTTATCTAAATATTAATGATTATTGGCGTAGTTTGTTCTGATTTTACTACAAAACAAAAACAATTCCATAATATAAGGGAAAAATAAACAAAACAAGGTAAGGGGAAAAAGAAACAAAAACAACAAATAATCAGATGAGATATATGGAAACTCTGATAGAAACAGAACAACAATGTGATCTGCTGTTAGGTTTGCTGAATCATTTTAAATTTGAGTAATACAAACTCTAAAATTTATATACTGTATTGCCGCGTGCTTAATAGCTGAAGGGGGGAGGGAGATATTGGTAATTGTGGTAGGGACCGACGGGATTTGATTGATGTGTGTCGGTGACTGCAATAACTTTTGTTTTGTACAACCGACAGTAAGTACCTCACAATCATCCTATGGTGGGTTGTTAATTACAAGTCGTTTTGCAGTGAAGCTAAAAACCCATGTGATTTCAAATTTAATTTTTTTTATTAAATTAAAAGTAATTATAAAATAATATTTATTTTAAATATTATTAATTAATATTTAAAAATCAGTTCAATCATTCTATTATGATTATTGATGTTTAAATTTATGACATTTAAAAATAAAAATAAATTTTTAACAATAACCACTTCATGATGTAATCTTAACGTTTCATTGCATCAGATGACCAAATTTCTTTCAACTTTCGTTGTTAGGATGATCAAGATATTTTTGTCATAAAATATACATTTAATAGTTAAAATTTTCGATTAATTCAAGTAACTAATTAACTTTTAATCGAATCAATTGTTAACTAAATGTTAAAAAAATAATAATCATTCTGTTATCAAACTAATTTCAATGACCAATTGTTTAATTGAACTAATTCAGTTCATCAAGTTAATTCAATTAAAACTAAGAAGTGTTCACTCCTAATTACAATGAATTATATTCATCAATGGTTTTCTACACTTAACCAGCAAATGTTTATATATATATAATAAACTAGCAAACTTCAGTCGGCCATTTTGTTGTTGTTGAAGTAATGTAAAGTACGTCTTTAGGACAAAATATGTTGTGTCGTCTTTTTTTGAGGTTTTCATTTGCGAGAAAATACGTATGTAAACAAATCGAACGAACACGATCGAGTGTATGCTCATGTTCATTCGTTTAACTTTAACTGAATAAATGAACGAACACGAAGATAAATAAACAAAAAAAATCTTGTTTGTATTCGTTCTTTAAAGAATGTAGTTTGTTCATGTTCATTTATTTAAATGATAAATGAACACAAATGAACAAACATAAACGAACGGATGTAAACGAACACAATAAACAAACTAAACGAACACAATAAACGAACATAAAACACAACACCTATAATCACCGTAAATGAACATAAATGAACAAAACAAACGAACATAAATGAATTTATTTTACAACAACATATCGTAGTCTTGAAAAAGATATATTTCGAGGCTCCAACCGAGTCGTCTTCGATGATTCAATTAAGAGCGCTAGACAACAGTGGACAAAGACCAAATAGCATGAGCGATAAGATTGAGATTTGAAATAATTTCTTCTTCTTTCCTAACAACTATAGGATTATATCTCTTAAGAAATTATAGTAACAATGAACAACAAAGAATACTGTAGAAATATTCTTCTTATTTTGCACATGAACCTTTACACTATTTATATAACTGTGTAGTCTGTTAGCCTAACAACCTAGCTAACAACCTGGCAACTAACTCAACCATATCACGTGCACATGCTGATAGGATACCAGAATACAAAATACCAGAATACAAAATAGTCTAATATTCCCCATACTCTTCTTTGCCATCTTCTTCAAACAAATGATCTAGACACCACACCAACTTTGCTTCGAAAATATTCAAATGCAACCTTCGACAGAGGCTTAGTGAAACCATCTGCAAGCTGATGCGGTGCAGGAACATAGTTAACGCGCAACTGTCCAGACACAACCTTCTCCCGAACAAAGTGAACGTCCAAGTCAATATGCTTCGATTGAGTATGATAAACCGGGTTGGCACTCAACGCCACATCACCCGTATTATCGCACTATATAACTGGTTCCTGTCGTGGGATTACTCTAAGATCAGCAAGTAAGGCACTTACCCATGTAACTTCTGCTGCAGTGTCAGCAATACATTTGTATTCTGCTTCCATTGTTGAACATGACACAATTTTTTACTTCTTGGAGCTCCATGCAACAATACAAGAACCAACGAAGATACCATATCCAGAAATTGATTGACGATCGTCTATATTAGTACCCTAGTCAGCATCAAAAAATGCAGAAACTTTCAACCCAACATCACCCAATGTGAACAACAAACCATAGTTAACAGTACCAACCAAGTACCTAAGTATTCGCTTAACAACAACCATATGCGCTTCATGTGGAGCATGCATAAACTGTGCAACCCTCCCAACACTATAGATTACGTCAGGATGTGTGTGACACATATAAAGTAAAGAACCAACAATGCCGCGGTATTCAGTAGCATCGGTTAGCAACTTCCCCTCATCTGTCGAGAGCTTGGAAGCTAGAATCATTGGCGTGGAACAAGCAGTCGCGCCTTTCATTCCTGTTTTTGTGAGAAGCTCCAATACAAACTTCTTCTGACACAGCACATTTGAACCACGAGAGCGAAGTACCTCAATTCCCAAGAAAAACTTAAGGGAACCAAGATCTTTAAGAGAGAACCGGACATTAAGGAGTTGCACTACATCTTGAATTGAATCAAAAGATTGTCCAGTAATGACTATGTTGTCAACATATACGAGCACATAAATGTCACCATAATCTCGTTTAGAAATAAACAACAATGGATCAGCTCGCGAAGCAGTAAAGCCTATCTGAACTAGATTAGCTCGAAGCTTTGCATTCAAATTACATGGAGCCTGGCTAAGACCGTAAAGAGCCCGCTGAAGTTTGCACAAGAGGCGTTCCATCGTCAACAACCTGCTCAAAGCCTGGTGGTTGTTGCATGAACATAACCTTATCCAAATCTCCGTTAAGAAACGCGTTATTAATATGTACATACCTTAACTCCCAACCGTTTGACACAACTAAGGCTAACACAACATTAAAAGTTGAGAACTTCACAACGAGGCTGAACGTATATGTGAAATCATAACCCGGAACCTGTAAGTAACCTTTCGCGATAAGGTGTGCTTTGTACCGGTTGACAGAACCATCCGGATTACGTTTAAGTTTGAACAACCACTTGCAACTGACAGGAATACGACCGACTGGAAGTTTAACCAACGACCATGTGTTATTCTTAAGGAGAGCATCAAACTTTGATTGCACAGTTTCTTTTCAATGAGCCGATTGCATGGCTTCTTGCACAGTGAAAGGGAATTCAGCTTCAAAGTAGCTTGAATATGTCTTGGGCTTAAACACTCCACATTTGTTGCACGTCAATATAGAATGTTGATTCTGTGTCAGCTGCACCGATGACGTACTTACATGATCAGGCTGCCTCGTATTCACACGCAAGTCAGCAGGCATAGAAACTGATTCGATATCATATTCATCTGAAGCTTCAGTAGCGTCTGGAGGCTCATAAGGTAAACCAGTGTCAGTAGGAGAAGGAGCAGTATAGTTGGGTTGACATGTAACCTCATCAATAACTCCTTCATGTACAATTCCCTCTCCAGTAGTTGAAACAATCCCATGTTGCCATTTCCGAGGATCACCAATAATAGGAATTGTATGCGACCGAAACACACTGCTTGGGGTGATTGAGATGTCTGAATCTTTTCCTGCAAACGGAAAAACCTCCTCATTAAACACCATATGACGGGATATATAAACATGATCATCATCAGCAAGATACTGAAAGCCCTTGTGCTGTGGGCTAAAACCCAAATTTGTACACGACTCAATCGAAATGATAACTTATGATTATGAAACAGTCTCAAATGCGGGAAACATTAATACCCGAAAATCTTCAGAGAAGAGTAATCAGGCCTTTTTTGTAGAGTTTCTCAAACGGAGTTATCTCATCGAGGACCTTTGTAGTAAGTCTATTAATTATGTGAGCTGCAGTGACTATAGCATAGGATCAATATTTCATAGGTAATGATGCTTAAGCTAGTAACACAAGGCCAAGCTCAATAATATGGCGATGCTTGCGTTCTGCAACGCCATTCTGCTCTGATGTGTACGGGCAGATCACTCGATGAACTATCCCGAACTTGGCAAGCATGGATGAGAAGAAACGATACTCACCACTCCAATTTGACTGAACATCCTTAATCGTAACTCTAAACTGATTTGTTACTAACTACTGAAACAATT